TGGAGCTAAATAGTTTGTGATGTCAGTCAATGATTACTTGAATGACTGCTCAGTCTTCTGTCACTCAGTGATCTGATACATTCACTTGAACCTGCTTGATGAGAGTGTCTGCTGTGGAAATTTGAAGCAGATTATTCTGGTCTTCTGCATCTGTCAAATGTAATTCAATGTACAAGATAGGAAACAGAGGGTCTTCCCAGTCAGAATGATGAATGATATCAGCATTGATAACATAAATGACAATCTTCTTTCACTGCTGAAGCAGCTGTGAGTTTGACAGGCATCTACCCGCGCAGATAGTGTCTCTGATGATCTTGACATTTATGAAATATCTTTCATGAAATGTAACAAGTTCACTGTGAACATTGATAGTTGCTTTCACTGATGATAATACATCATTAGCTATGATTATATTGCATTCAAGATATTGCACTAAGTGGAATTTGTCTTCAACAATGAAAAGAGAATCATTATTCACTCTCAAGATAAGGTCTGTTATTATGAATAGATTTGATTCATCAGCTTCTGAGCCAACTTCTCAAATACTCATGCATTGATCATGCAGCATAGAGGTCAGTCAACAATGAAAGAAGAATAGATTTGCTATTATTATATTGATAAGTGATATATCTGCATCTGTATTCATATAAACAGAGAGATTGCCTTGTGATGTAATGACAGAAATGATGAGAAAGATGTAAGACAAATACTGTAGTCTGCTAACATATTCTCAATCACTTATAAAGATATCATGTGCTGCAACTGCATATATATCAGCATTAAAGATGTTCTGATAATTATCTGAGAAAATGTCTGTAGACAAGATGAGCCTCTCAGTGTTCATCTCACTGATTATTTTTCTGACTCACTGTTGAAATCTAGACTAAGATCTAGATTCAGCAGCTTATCATCATCTTCTCTGATACTCTTCAGTTTGACTTAATTCACTGAATAATCACTGTTCTCCTCTTTTTTGAGATAGTGATTGATGTAATGAGAGTCTCTGCAGATGTAGCACTCTGCTGTGAGTGCTGACAGTCTTCCTTCTTCTGTTGTACACTGAATCAGTAACTTACTTATTGTGAGAGCACTCATGAGAATTGCTGCTGTCTCTGCAGTAGACACAGACAGCTTTGTAGCTTCTGTCTGCTTGAACAGAGAGATGTGATATAGACAGTGATTATTATTCTGTTCAAAACATCTGAAACTATGTATGTAGTCAGCAAATTGAGTCTTCTGATCAGTTCAGACATGTCAGATGACTGACTCATTATCTCTAATTCATCATTGAAAGTTATTCAATCATTCAGTGAGAACAAGCAGTGTGATTAAGAAAAGATTGAACTCTAAACTCTTTTACAAGAGTCTCTTTATCATAACAGAGTCAGAGATTGCAGTGACTCACAGTAAGTTAATCTTCTGTGAGATGTATAATATCAGAGACAGTTTATTCAACTTCTCAAAGAAAAAACACAGAGTCTGAGCTTTCATTCAAGCTTCTTCTTCTGATAGCTGAAACTCGCATTTTAACTCATTGACAGTGATAGAAAGAGAGACATTCATATTCTTTCTCATTTCAATAGACAGATCATTATGCTATTTCAACACCTGACTCTTCAGGCATAGAGAGAATACACAGAGAATCACATCATCTTTCTCCTGCATGGCAATGAATTTCAAGCAACTGATAAACATCATTACATCTGTTTCTGCTGAGTTGAATAGCATGATGTTATCAGCCTGTAATCTCACTGATCTATCATCACTTCATGCAGATGAATGAGGTTCACTATCAAGTAAAAGATCAAGATTGTCATGAGTGAGTGCCTGATCCCTGCGCATCCGGTTTTTCTCTGAGTTATAAGTAAAACATGCAGTGTCAGCTTCTCTGAGGAAATTAATCCTGTCTCTCATTAGATTATGACAGTGTGTTCTGCCTTCAGCATCATACAGTCTTCATGAAATTGCTGATATTTGTCAGATTCTAGAAGATGATTTGAAGCCTTTCTTAAAGAAGGCATCTAATTGTCACACAGACTCATTGAGAAGATTATCAGCTTTAATATCTGTTCTGTCAATCTGAGCTGAACAGTTCATCTGCTGACAACAGTTCAGCTCCTGTCTTTGAACAGTGAGTGTGGCTTTCTCAGTACAGAAGCTATTTCACACTTTCACTAATCTGCTTCTTTCATCTATCAATCATTTGAGATTCTCTTGAAGTTTGTTAACATATTCATTAACAAGAGCAGTACACTCATTCAACTGCTTCTTTCACTGATCAAGCTAATGTTCATATTCATTGAGCTCACTCTCTTGTCAGATCAGTCAGGCTTCTAGCTGTTCTAACTTCTTAATTATATCTAGTATTGCTGCTTCATCAGAAGAAGCACAGTTCTGATAGTTGAATTTATGAAAGCTTGAAGCTATTAAATCTCTCTTCTTAGTATTCTTTGTGACATCTGTGCAGAAGGCTCACAATCAGAGATCAATGACATTCTTCTATTCTGCTACTGAAGCAGAGTTAAGAGCTGTTTTTATGTTATTGTAACACCTGACTGATACACTCATAAGAATGTCTTTCACTTTGATACAATTATACAGCATCACTTGGCTTTTGACACTCTTATACTATTCATCTATGTTCTGTCAGACTTCTGTAATTATAATAGCATGCTTTTCAGTCATTGCTTGTGAGTAAGTTCATTCTAAGTCAGGTTCATCAGTGAATTCTCAGATGAGTTGTTCAATTTCACTGATAAGCTTGTTCAGTTCAGTGAAAGAAAGTGACTGATAGAAGCTGCTCTGAGTGATTTATCTGTTCTGCTTCATTATTTTGATGAGACTGATGAAGTTATATAAGAGTGTGAAGATGAGTTTACTGTGACTGTGATCATGTTCTAGACTGATCACTAGTGCTATGACATTCTGAAGTGAAAGATGCTTAAATAATTATCAGTCAGACCTATCATCAGCTGTAGTATTGAATGAGATAGATTTAAATGACTGCAGGCTAGATTAATCACTAGCTGCAGTATTGAAAGAAGATAGAGTAACTAATCAGACTGATTATCAGCTAGTCAATTCTCAGTGTCCGCAGCCTGGTCCAATCACCAGTGCTATGTATATTGAGAGTGAAGTGAAAGTTAAAGAGACTAGAAGAACTTGATTCTTAATAAGACATGCTATTAAATTGTAGTGTACACTGCTATATAGAGTCAGATATAAGGGTAAAAACTTGTCTTATTCTCTTAAAGATGAGAGATAGATGTACACTCTTATATATACAGTGATTGTTCTATAGAGATTAGCTCTTGTAGAAGAAGTGATCATCTATGAAGAGAAGAACAGAGGCTCTGTAGAGAAGAAGTGAATGCTCTCATAGAAGAAGTGATCACATATGAAGAAAAGAATGAAGACTCTGTAGAGAAGAAGTGAAAGCTCTCATAGAAGAAGTAATCACATATGAAGGAAAGAGCAGAGAGAGAAGATAGAAGTGAAAGCTTCAGAAAACAGTAAGGAATGAAGCGGAAGCTAGAGCTGAATAGAGGATTGACTTGAATAGAGGGCGGAAGCACGCCACAGATATATACAGATTATTTATTTGCGGAGCGAAGCGAAGCAAATATATGATGAAAACCCTGGTCATTAAAAGTAGAGAATTTCCTTTTTGAGGTTCTTGGTGTGAATACAGCCCACTGATTGATGTAGAATTAAGCAAAGCACAATTCTGTGACATTACACTATGACTTCTTCTACACACTCACAACGCGTTCATCTTTCATCTCATCAACCATATCATCAATCATATCATCTACTCTGTACAGATTCTTGAATAATAGATTACACATCTCATCAACTATCTACTCTGTACAGATTCTTGAATACAGATTCTTGAATAATTGATCATGCATCTTATCAACTACCTACTCTGTACAGATTCTTGAATAGATAACGCATCTGATCAATCACCTCTCATAGATTCTCAAGAATGAATAATGCGTCAAAAGCCTGCATTCACTGCTTGTAAAACCAGTCTCTTGATCAATTCATTTCTTTACAGCATTCTACTACTTCTACAGCTGTCTGCCTTCAATGCTGCACTCAGAGGACTCAGGTATTGTAATCTTCTCTCATTACATCTTTTCTATCACTGATTACCTCTTTACACTGTGTAGAACTATAAACAGATGTGTGCAGTGAAACCAGATCCTTCTACAGTCACAGATTCTGTGGTAAATGAGCCTGAACTTCCTCTGCCACCTCAGGCATGTCAACACTTCATGCAATCAACAGCAGCCTCTTGAGCCTGTGAACAGTCTATTGAAACAGACATGTCATCTGAGGTTAAGTTTTATCACTGTGAGATTCATAGTTCTGATGCATCTTCATTGACAGCAGTCTGTAAAAAGAAAACTGCCATTCAAAGAGCTCATCATGTTGTCAGATATTATAGAGAATATCTCTCATCAACTTCATTCTTAACTCAATTGAGAAAACAGCTGCAGCTGTTATCTTTGATAATTAATTCATCTCTCAGTTCTACAGATCTCTCTTCAGCCTTTCATCAATTATCTGTATCACTCTTCAACTCATTTTCAAGTTAATCTCATTTCACTTTTACAGGCATGCTTTCACTGCAGACACCTTTTACATCATTTTTCTTATTCTCAACTTCTCAAAGCCCTGTTTCTCAGAGCTCTGCAGATTCATTCATTAATTGACTCAATAGAAGAGTTAGCAGCCTCTTGACATCTTGACATTCTACATGGCCTGAAAGCTCAATTGACATATCAAATATAGAAGCTCTCACAATTCTTCAGAAACATGATCAGTTACAGGCTGCAATTGTCCCAGATTCTCTGATGAACTCTCAGAGTTCTACTTATCTTACAGATTCAGCTGTTAATTCTGATGATTAGCAGTGTATGCAGGAATTTCATCACATACTTGAAGATTTACAGATGAAGACCTGTAGCTGTTGTTGAATTTGCTGGTTCAGAATGAATCTTCAAGATGACATTTGTACTCATTATCATACTGTTGATTTGAGACAGCTGTCTGACAAGTCATTTTTATTCTCTCAAGAGAATAACCTTGATCTCAGTGATCTTGATTCAGATCTCCCTGTTCTCAGTCAGGTTGAAGAGATATTAATTTCACACATGCATGTCTTCATTGAGGTCTGTCAAGTCAGAGAACATCAGTATAAGTATAAAGACCATGTTATTAGCTTTCTTAGAGACACTGACTGTGTTTATAACACTCTCTCACTTCTTTCTAAGAACCTTAATATTATTATATTGAAGTCTTTAAATTCAAATACAGATCTCTGCTTGCAATATCAGTTTCACTGAGATTTCATGATTTACAAAGAAGCTGTTGCTCAATGACTAATCTATCTTCATAAAAACCATCCCAGTTATCAGAACATTGTGATTGACAAAGAGACTTGAAATTAGTTATCTGAAAATGAAGATGTCTCTGATCAGATTCCTTTTCATGAGCTTGATAAGCAAGAATTAACAGTCATTGAGAATGAGAATTATTTGAATCTTGACAACTTGAATATCTCACCTGAATACTCTGATGTTTCAGATCTTTTAATCTCACAGTTCAAAGTTGAGCAACTTCACTATGAACTTGAAATATCACAGTGAGAACAGATTGATCATCTCACTCTGTCTTCAGTCTGTAATACATCACTTAGTAAGTTTAACAACACTCACTCACTCTTTTCTTAGGCCTTTTCAACACTTTTCTCACAAGGTGAAGCTGAATTCATTCTTTCTAGATAAAGAACAATTAGTCTTACAGATTATACACAGTTTCTTCTTAAATATCATGACAGCTGCTTTGCTCATCATAGCTGTTTTTAATATATTCTTTTCAATTCTCTATTTCACAGATAGATTAATAATTGAGACTGCTTTTTCTACAATCAAACTGATTCTCTTATTAAGAACCTCACTCTAGAGAAGCTGCAGACTGCTTTTACTGCTGACACTTTACAATCTGTCACAATTTTGAATTCACTTACACAGTTTGCAGAGAGTCTTCATGAAACTCATTCTTTTTAAGATGTAAAATGTTATCAGCTATAAGCCTATGTTCAAAATATCAGATCTTCACATCTATTTCTTACTCTCTCAGCTGCAGATTATCACTGAGATGATCTGATGCATCACTTCCCTGGCTATGCCATTTGAAAGCACAGCATCAACCTTGAGAGGTTGAAGTTTGTAAGAGATAGTATTCATGACTATTCTACTATAGTTGCACATTACTTTCATCTATGACTTGCAATCTTCAAGGAAAAGATTCTAGACTCAAAATTCAAAATCCTAGATCACTGAACTTGTTACAAGTGACAAGGCCGCAGATCAGTGCACTCACATAGTGTATTTTAATGTAAGAATGCACTGAATTCTGAACTTGACATGGATGAAGACTCTCATCAAGCCTTTGCTGACTACTGAGATCTCATTATTACAGCTGAGAATCCTGAGCCTAATTACACTCAGTCTGAAGATGCATGATCATCTCTTTTCCTCAGCCATTCTGATCAGATGAATATCATTGAATATTTATCTGCAGTTCTCAACTGTGTTCAATGTCATCACTGTAGTGAAAAGTACTGCATTTGTAAACACCAGATCACTGACAATCTACATTACCAATTTCACTTCCTGCATGAATGCCGGACTGACTGTGCTATTCTCAAACCTTTGTGTAGTAGATATTATCAGCTGCACTCTCATCATAACAACTCAATTCTCAATAACTACAATAGATTGATTATAGTAAGCTGACTAGCAAATACTGACATTGCTCCCTGCACTGACAGTCATGCTGTTCTTAATTATCTGTCTAAGTACATTGCCAAGGCTGAAACAGACACAGAATCCTATCATCAGATTGTTCAACAAGTGATTCCAAGGGCCAGTTCAAGCCACTCACTGCTCTCTACAGTTGTTAAACTTATGAATCAGCTCATTGACAAGTGCAATTGATCTGCTCAGAAGATTTATCATCTTCTTTTAAATCTTTCTTTACAAATGAGTTCTCATGAGTCAATTGCAGTTGATTGTCAGCCTGAATCTTAATATTGTCATAGCTATATTCTTGAATCTGATGAATTACAATGTGATTCATTCTTTTTGAAAAAATATAAGCAGTGATCAACTGAATTTGAAGATCTTTTATTTCTTGAATTTCTTTAAATCTTTTCTCACAGTCATTAAATTAAGAGATGTCCCTGTGTAAAATTTCAAGTGTTGATCTACTTTTCTGTTTATCAGTTCAAAACTGATTCAGAGAACTATACTTATGTCAAACTTCTTCTTCATCACTCTTTTCATCAAATTGAAGATCTCAAGATTGTTGATCTTCTCACTTCTTGACCCTCTTTTACAGAGGTCTTTAATTATTACTGTCTTTCTCATAATCACTCAGTTGATGTCTATGATAAAGACATGCTGGAACCAGAACCTGAGTTTGAAGATGGTCAGAATGATGAAGAAGAGCTTAATCTCTCTTAAGCATTGCTCACCTGTCAAAACTCACAGCATGATAATAATGGCCTCATTGACACCTGAAACTGTGAACAGCTTGATCATCAGTTCTTAGATTTCAACTATGATTGAAGCTCTCATGTTAGCACTTATATCAATCTTGACACAGAATTTTGAAACAATATGAAGACTGACTTTCCCGCAGACACTACTCTTCATGAACATGGCTCACTCAAGACTCTAGGCTCTGATTAACACCTTCTTCATGACACTATTCTCTATCATTATACTGAGATTCTTAACAGCGGGTCTCTGAATCCTTTGCTAATTAATCTAGATGATGAAGGTGACACTGATAAAACCTATCTGATTATGATTTTGTCTACAACTCTTTAAAATCTTGCAGAGGCTCAAGATCTCTCAATCCTAATCATTCAAGCTGTACTAACTGGTGTAGCTGCTCACTTCATTAACACTCAAACCTTGCATGCATTATTTTGGCTCCTCATACACAAGAACATGCCATATGAACTACTCAATCCCCAAAATCTTCAATCTTTGCAGGCTCTTTTTAAGGATGTTCACTATCTGTTAATTGATGAAAAGTCAATGATTGATTTATGACAACTCTCATGAATTGATCAGGCCTGTTATTATATATTCTCTCACAAGAATGCTCATTTTAATGATCTCAGTGTCATTCTCAGTGAAGATTTCTACCAGCTCTCACCTGTTTTTCAAACTCCACTCTATCATAATGAATGTATTGATTATAAAGAAGACATTCAGAGCTGTCAAATCTACTTAGCTTTTAGTAAAATCATTCAACTTACTGTGATTTGATGATAAGTGGATGAAGATGTCATCAGCTGCCAGTTTCATGAGATCTTGAAAAATCTTCATCTTGATCAGTTAACTCTGAATGATTGAGAGTTTCTTTCAAAGTATGTGCAGGCTCTTATCCCTCATGAAGCCCCGGTCTTTGAGAATGCAATTCACATTTATGCAAAGAAGTGCCATGTTCATGTCTATAATGATGATACTATTCAAAGCTGTAAACAACCTGTTATTAATATTCAGGTTATAAATATTGATATAGACACTTCTCAGTTAGATTCTGATAAGGCTGACAATCTTCATCAGAATCTTTCTCTCTTTATCAGCTGCTGAATCATGCTTCTACAGAATATTTGAACAGACTGCAGCCTTGTTAATGATGCTCTTGAGACTCTTCATAACATTGTATGAAGTTCAGATGTGAAGGATTCTCATCAAGATTCTTCATTTACACTGCTAATTAATTTTGACAAATATGACAGCCCTGCTTATTTGAAATGAAAGAGTCTTAAACTTGTGCCTATCTTTCACAGCTGTCATGACTTTTCTCATATTAATCAAGCCTGCAGCTGCACGCAGTTCCCTATTACAGTTGCATATGCCATTACTGTTCATAAATTCCAAGGATTATCACTTGATCAGGCTGTCCTTGATATTTCTGAGACTGAATTCCAGACTGGTCTCACATATGTTGCAGTTTCACAGGTCAAAACATATCAAGATCTTCTGTTTGAACAACTCTTTGATTATTTCAGATTTCACTGGCCTGATGATGAAGTAAGCAGAAGCATGCAGATGTGTGAGATTGATTATACAAGATATCAAAGTCAACAGATAACTAAGTTATATTCCTTTTCTTTTTATAGGTCTCTGCTAATCTATATTCTATATAGCTTCATCCGCTCTTTATTCCATCTTTTTCACAGTTCATATTTGATCTGCTCATTCACTCATTCTTTATTACTGCAAGTTCTTCACTCTCTGTTCTATCATTCTCTCTGCCTGTTCTGCTCACAGATTTGCTGAATTCAATCATTGAATTTGATGAATCTATTGCGGTCAATTCTATTATAATCACTGAACCTGAGAATGAGTAGTTAGTGATCTACAGAAGGTATTGAAACAATCTGAATATTAATCTATACAGTTCAGATTTAATATAATAACATCTTTAATCTGAGAGATTGAGAATCTTCTGAGGCCTGTGTTATTAAGACCTGTGTTGCATCATGTGATAAGGGATATTGAATTCTTGCAGTCATCAACACATGTATGAGGGGAAGTGAATGAATCTCAGAGTATTCTCTTTCTCTTTGAAGAATTCATCTTATCTCTCATCTTTCATCTCTGCCAGCTGTTTTTTTTTTTTTTTCAGAAATCATGTCATTTATCTCTATTAATTCATCAGAAGTTCAAAAAATCATCAATGCTGTTATTATGGCTGAAAACAATGTCTTGAAACACATTCATTGTAAGTAAGATTCTCAAAATGATGAAAATTACAATTCTAACAGTCAGCATAGTTCTTAACAACCTTGTCCAGCCTGCTGAGCTGTCAGTTATCAACCTCATTCTCAGTCCTGCACCTGCGCCTGCGCCTGCCTCTGCTGCATCTGTCGGTCCTAGACCATCAAGTCAACTGTTGACTCATTTGACTGAAAGAATGCCTGAGAAGCTGTCAAAGAAGCTACAGACTTTCATCAAATTGTCCTGTACTTGTGAGCCAGTCTTGTGAGAGGGTTGTCAGGTCAATACAAAAATCAATACAAATTATAAAGCTCTTCTTCTACAATTCTGTGATGCTGTTTTTGCAGTCCCCTGCAGTCACTGTGCTAGAGGAGAAGACTCTTTTACCATCTGCATCAGCGCTCTGAATCAGTGCCATGAAGCTTGTGTCAGTTGTTATTACAATGGCACTGGAAGTCACTGCTCTTATCATAGAAGTGAGTCACTTTTCAACATGAAATATGTCAATTTCAATATAATTAACTAATAGTTATACATAGTCAATGTCAGTAAGAAGAATGATAAAGTGAAAGAAAAGAAGCAGAAGAATGAAAAGAGAAAGAAAGTTAAGAAGAAGAGTTCATTCAAGAAGTGCTCTGCAGCTGAGAATACAGAGACTAGAGTCTAGAAAAAACAGACAGTAAGTGTTGAGTCAGTTGATGATTGTGATATTGAAATTTTGACTCTTCATATTGAAAATGAGGCTCTGCACAAGGAGAATACAGCTCTGAAGACTAAATTCAGAACTATTACAAGCCTTCTTCAGATCATTCAAACTGTTCTTGAGAATGATATATGAGTCA